GCTGGGGCTGGTGATGATGATGATGGTGCTGGGGCGGATGGTGGTGATGATGTGCGTGGCTCACCCGTGGGCAAAACTGTGGGTCCCCAGGACCGGAAGAGAACTGGCTCTTGAGCAGAGGTAGGGCGCCAGTGCCCCCAGCTGCCCCGGCGCCCGCCACCGCAGCGCCTACTGTCCCTGTAGCACCGCCACCGGCTCCTGCGGGCGGGCGAGAGGAATGCAGGTGCGAGGTGACGCAAAGCGGGCACACGCAGAAAGCGCCGCTTTTGCGGGACGGGCAGCCGGGCCCCGACACCGACATCACCAACGGGGACGGCATGCTTAGCGGAATGAAGAAATCCGGCCCTGGGTGCGATTCCGGCAGCGAGGGTGCCGGCCGCGAGGAGTCCTTGATGATGAGCGAGTCCACATAGAAGGAGCGCGACATGACGACGGGAGATGGATGGCTTGTTAGGCGGGCCGCGGCGTCCCCTCGCCTTTTGAGATCTGAGCTCTGTCTAGAGAGCTAGGCGGACGCCAGCGGTCAAGCCCTTGGGGACGCGGAGGTGTCGGCGTCTGGGACTCGAACAAAGGGGTCCCTGGAGAAGGTTGGTCCTCACGTCCCCCGCCCGGCGCCCCGGCTCCAGGATTTTATAGCCCCCACCCTGGCACGTGATGCTGCGGAGTACCGCTCAGCTCAGGCTTCTCCGCAGCTCCCCACCCTCGGGATAGGCTGCCCGAGTCACAACAGAAGCGGGGAGGGGGGGGGGGGGACGGGAAAACCGCGGGGACGGGGGGAAGCCTTCACAAAGTGTAGGGTTTGTTAATTTTGCTGGGGGATCGACCCTCTCTCCCCTCTTCTCTGCAGTCCATACTCTGTCCTACCCTCTCCCTTGCCTGGGCCTCTGTCCACCTCTTCACCGCAGCGCAACGCAGAGCGCACCGGGTGGGAACTTCCAGACCATTTAAACTGAGGTACCCAACGCAGTCAAGTTTCTCGGTGTCAACCCTGCCTGCACAGCAGAGCTTGAGACTTCTGCTCTGGAGCAGGGTGTGTGATCCTGGAGTAAAGAGGTCGGCTCTGTCTAATCTTCACCACACTCATACCTGTCCTTGCTCCCCAGCTTTTTGATTTGGCCAAGGTCATTCGCACTGGACGAATCTGGCGAGTAACTTCCCAATTAAGAAACCAGGAGCTCCGGGTTCATGCTACATCAGGTTCCAAATACCTTTGTATTTGGGGTTCTCATGAGGCCACTCAGATCAATGGCCCTTCCTTCGGCATCTTTTTAATTAGCAATTCAGCCTTCTGTGGCGGGTAGGGGGGCGACGAGGAGGAGGAGGAGTCTCCCTTTTCTTATCCAACAGTTACATAGTTTACAAGCTCAACCTACAAACTCCACCAAAAAAAAAAAAAAATTTGGATAGGACCAAAAACAGCCTTCCTAGAGACTGGGGTAGGAACTGGAGCAGGCCTTGGTCTAAGTGATCTCTTGCTGATACCACCCTACCTCTCTCAATACGGATACTCTTTGCACCCTCAAATCCTAAAGTGGAAGAAGGAGATACAGCCAATAGCGGAACCCTGCCACTGTGAGGAGTGGATTGGTACCAGAACCTCCTTGTGTGGCTCAGGAAGACTTGCGCACCTTGTGAGAGAGGGTGGTTGCCACCACCGAGGCTCTTGATTTCAAGGCGGCAAAGACGACAGCAGCTTCTTTGCTGTCCTTTGGCTAAAATGGCTAACTTCCTGAGTAAGTTCACCACAATGACAAGAAACTTGAAGACTGGATTCCCTTCACCTGAGAGGCGCCTGAGGACAGGGGACCCCAGCTGGAGGCGTGGTTCTGTCTCTATGTCCTCTTGCTTCCTCTTTCTCTTTCCCTTCTCGGCGACCACCTCTCTCTTGCCTGATGGAGGAGTATAATTGGGTTGTAGGGATGCCCCGCTCTAGGGAGCCCAGGATTTATGGATGGCAATTAAAGTTTTATGAATTGCAGCTGAGGCTGGTTATTGAGCTATTTGAATGTGATTAGAATTCAATTAGAAAGTGGTTAGTGGACGGTGGGTCTCCAGAGTGTAAACAGACAGCTATTCCAGAAATGTGCTAATCCAACATCTTGTGACAACAATTGAGGAGTCTTGGGGCAGAGCTCGGGGCTGCTCACTTGTAACTACTTTTGCATCACAAGGTTTGTCTAGCCAGCCTTCAGGGAAGCACAGCTTCCTCCAGGCCACCCAGTCAAGACCAGCTGTAACCAGCCCACTCTCTCCTTTGACTGGAGCAGATCTGAGGCAGGCCCTGCCTGCCCAGCAGGCCTTGCAATCCTTCTAACCTTAAGAAAAGTATTTGGAACGCAACAATTAAGAGGCTTGATGGCAGGGTATTCTTTTTTATTTTTTAATATTTACTTATTATATATATGAGTGGTTCATCTACATGTATGTATGCGCGCCACATTTGTGCCTGGTGCCCTCAGAGGCCAGAAGGCACCAGATCCCCTGGAATTGGAGGTTGTGGGTGGGTGTGTGTACTGGAAACAGAACCCAGGTCCTCTGCAAGAGCAACAAGTGCCCTTAACTGGGCCACTCCTCTAGCCCAAGAGTATTTTTAAAGGCTTAGATTGTTCAATGGGGTCAACTGGTTGGTGCTTTGAGAAAGCAGCCCTGTTCTCTTTCCTCTTCCGGTGAGGTAGGTGATGTCTAGTCCTCTGTGGGTGGGGCTTACAGGGCAGTATTCTCAGGGGCTACTGGTGTGCTTCCAAGAATTGCGCTGCTCATGGTCTAGAAATGGTGCATGTGTGCAGACCCATTCCTTTTAGGGACTCGGTCAAGCAGGAGGCTTACATCTTATTTGGTTTATGTCAGACAGACTATGGATACATTCAGCTTCCACTGTCAGGGATTTTTGAGAGAGGTGAGGGGTCCAGGGAAGGGGGGGGTACAGGGGAACAGAAGCTTCAGGTTAGGCTGAGTCTGAGAGTTGGTCTGTGGTCTGAGGAATTTGTTCACCAGAGTCCTTTGTTAATTGCTTAGGTCCATGAAGAGCAAGTATTTGGGAGCTATAACCCCTCCCATAACCTTTGCTCTTTTTCCCCAGTTCTCTGTGTCTCCCTCTCCCCCATTTTCTTCTAGAAGTCAGCTCCACCTATGCCCCAGGCACCCACAATCCCACCCTCTACAACCTGGGCAGAGTTGCAGTCATTGTCCTTGGAGTGGCATCATAAACTGCTCAGAGCAAAGGAGGGTGCCATCGGGGGGGCCTTCTCCCAAGCACGCTAGTAGACAGGCGGCATGCCCACAGTGCTTGCCCCAGCGCACAATTTTATTTCTCAGTGATTCTGTCTGATAAAATTTCATTGTCCATTAAGTAAGCCCCCAAATGAGGGCTCTTATGAGCCTATAATGAGCTCTAATTGCCAGGACTCAGGGAGCCACGTGGAAGGATTTATTCGGTATTAAGCAGTCGGGTACAGAGTACAGGCTGTTACCTTAGCCATTACTTTCATAATTCAAGGAGAAAATTAGTTCTTTTAAGGGGAGGGGGGAACTCTTTGCTTCCTTCTCTTCTGCTGAGGCTGGCAGAGGCTGGCTGGCTTTGTCTTGCTTGAATGCAAGGCAGTATCACAAATGCAAAGGTAACAACATTGCTTTTTCCCCATTCCCAGACGGAGCACCCTCATCCTGCCCTCAGTTTAGAGAAGGAAAAAAAATCAAAGCAGCTGTAAAAAGAGCAAGGGTGCCTGCTTGCTGCTGGACTCTGAGGTTGGGTTCCTTCCAGCTCAGCCTTGGGACTTGGACGCTTGGATTTTAGGTTTCAAATGGTTTTGTAGTTCTTCCCCCTCTTGCCTATGATGGAATCTGACCTGAACCTCACACATCCCCTTTTTGTTCTTCTTTCTTCCAATTTCCTTTCACGCGTAAAGTGGCACGGCCTTTTCAACAGGCCCCAGAGTTCTCAACTATTGATGTGCTTAACAGTTCTTTTTTATTTTTCAGGCATAACCCCCACTTTGCACCTCCTCTGTATCCCCCAAGGCAAGGGCTTCCCCCCTCACATCCTCAGTCTTTTCCCCACCCTGCCCTCTCTGGTTTAGCGTTTGCCTCTATAGCTACAAACTGAGGCTGCAAGCAGAGCCGGACAGCCGAGGAGTCGGCTGGGCTGCCTCGGATTTATTTGCTCCTCTTACATTGATTTCATATTAGTTTCCAAAGCGATGAATGATCTCAAAGCTGGGTTTTGTTAGCCGAACACAAACAGGAGACAGAACTTACTTGCCCCCAGCTCCCTTTAATGAGGTCATTATCAAAGCGTGAACAAGTCTATGAATGTTTTATTGAAAACGCATCGTTAACTTGTATCCATCCTTTTCTCCAAGTGGCATTGTGATATTGCTGTCTGTGGCACATCTTACCCGATATAGCCCGAGATTTCCCCATTCTCTGTAACCAGGCAACCCTTTCTGAATACCCAAAAATTGAAAAGAACCGCTTAGTCTTCAAGAAAGTCCTCAATAATAGTGGAAAAGAACAAAGATCCAGGAGACAACAAAATGCCACAGGGGTGACTTCTCATGAGCAATTATCTCTCATTAATCAGAAGAACAGCTGCAATATTAATTTTCTCTCTTTCTTCCTCTCTTTTCACAGTCCCCAACATTTGAATAATCATAAATTTTGATTTTATGAAGGAGTCACATTTTCGGGGGCTGGAGGAAAACAGCTACCTAGGTGAAGACAAGGAGAAAATGCTCTCGTTTTAGTTTTTGTTTGGGTAAAGCTGTCAACAAAGAAAAATATAAAAAAAATACAAGAAAGAAATGCCAGAGAAAATGCATTTCCCCACCTACTTCTAGACTGCTGCTGAGAATCAGGACCCCATTCTCCTCCACCCCTCCTCCCTGCCAGCACCCCCCTTTCCTCCCCCTGCCCAGACCCTTTCCCTAGTTTTGCTCTGAGCAGGGTGGAGAGAAATGTCCTTGGCGTCTGGCGTGGGAGTTTCAGCTGGGTTTTTGCCCGTTTAACTTGCAAACGTGAAACCAAGCGTTGCCGATCTGACCAAAGAGACACTCTTTGGGCGTAACTTGTATTGTGGCCATCAAAAGCCCTCCAGCCTCAGATGAACTGAGACGGCCATTCAGCAGAGATGGGGCGCTCGCTTTCCATTCAGGCTCTGGAGAGGCGATTGTTCGCAGGATGTGTAGCCAGAGTGGAAAACGTGGGTCCCCAGATATGGCTGTAACCTGCAAACGAGCTAGGAAGTAAAAGAATCTCATTAAAGGCTAGGGTGCAATTAGCGAATGCTTTCTTTCTCCCCTCCCCACCTTGAAAGCAGTGGGTCCCGGTGAAAGGGGCAGTTGAGAGCTAGTCCCCACATTCCGGCACTGGCTGAGTGATAGGCACTCAAAGACCCCCGTGATGTGGCCTTTAATGTAAATCAGAACGTGGCCTGATCCAGAGAGGTAACAGGTTGCAGACCCTAGGCTGAGGCAGTACCGAAAGTGTTTTTGCTCCTGCCTGGTGTTTATTCAGAGTAGATGGGCCTTTGAGAAACCTGAATTCCCCTTTGTGCCGGAGTTCAATTGAGCCTTCTGAGAAAGGGAGGGGGTATCTTCTGAGAAAAGAGTCAGGGATTTGGTTCAGAATTTCAGGAAAAGGAAAAGCTGCCCGCCTGTCTGTCTACATAGGAACAGAATTTTGATGGCAGCAACTCCATCCCAACCCCAGCCCTCACCCCATCCCAAGGTGGTTCTACACTTCACCTTAACTACTACCCCCCCATCTCCAAATCCTAACCAGGCACCCCCTCCCACCCTCAAAGCTCTGGTCTGTCATCGGAATAAAATTTATTGAGTGCCTACTCTGTGCCCAGCGTGTGCAAGGCTCCACGGGGAGCCTGATGGAAAGGCCAAGACAGTATCCAATAGAATATTGTTTCATTCCAGTAACAATGGTCTGAGGTGGGGGACAATTATCCGGATAATTGAAGCAAATGCCCCACCTCCCTCCCTCAGACTCCAGTTCCTTCCCAGTCTCACTACTCTCTGCAGCAGCAAGAGTGGTTTGCAGAAGGAGAGTGGGAAGGCAGAAAGAGCTGACTGAGTTACAGAACACCAGTTCCCTACTTCCCTCAGCCAGAATTCACTGCAAGCATTGGGTCGATATAGCTGCTTAATTGTGGGGGATCAAGCCAGTTTTCTTTCTCTCCTCTCCCCACATTTCATTTTCTTCTTTTCCTTCTGGGCAATGAACCCAGAGCACTGCATGTGCCAGCTAAGGAATCTAGGAGGGGCCACATCTTGAGCCCTTTCCTCTTTATTTTTCACTCTACTCAAATGAGAGGGAGCCTTTGTACTTTAAACACGATCCAACCTTTCTCGTTTTCAACTTTGGTCTTCTACAAAAACCACCTAGAGAGCTTTTACAAAAAACACCCAAAGGTTACCTGGTGGTGCCTGCTTTTAAGCAGGATGGGTCTCTGTGAGTTCCAGGTCAGCCTGGTTTACACAGGGAGACCCTGTCTCAAACAAACAAACAAAACAAAACAAAACAAAAACACCCACCAAGGTGCTAGAGATTTTCCTGAGAGAAGCCAGAACAAGTACTGAGAAAAACCCATTTCTGCCTCCTTCCATTCTGGAACCTGAAGAGATGGATGTAACCCCTCAGACCTCATTCAATCCTTTGATAAGCCAAGAGTATCTTGGCCTAGGGATGTAGTTCAGTGGTGAAGCACCTGCCTATGGGCAAAGAGGTGCTGTGTTTGAACCCAGCATTATTTCCCCACCCCTAAAGTAAGTGTGTATGGATTGCCAACTATACACCAGGCTCAGAGTCAGAGAATTCAGTAGCACAAGGCCTGCCCCCCCTGGGAATTTATAATACATTAAATGAATTAACCAATCAACTTAGAGCTGGTAGGTTACAGAAGGCCATGGGAATATGAAAGAAAGCCGATGGAGCTGGCAAAAAAAAAAGAAAGAAAGAAAGAAAGAAAGAAAGAAAGAAAGAAAGAAAAAAAAAGCCTAAAATAACATTTCAACCGAGACCTGGCAGGGGCATGAGGTCTAAGTCTCGGACCATCAAAGAACATAGGAACAGGACAGAGAGTTTCTCTTTTTCTTTGTTTAGTTAGTTTTTTTTTCTCCTAGAACTGGCTTTTTAAACCAGGCAGCCTCGAACTCACAGAGATCTCCCTTCCTCTACCTCCTGAGTGCTGGGATTAAGGGCATGTACCCCACCCACCCCAGTATCTCTTTTTTAATTGAGAGAGCTGAAAAGAAGCCAGAGGCGGTGAATGAAGAAATTCAATTTCTGCACCTGTAAAATACAAAAAATGCCACCATTCTCCACTCTGTGGGAAAGTAAGGCCTACCACCATGCCTGCAGTCTGACCATCACCATCACCATCACCATCATCATCATCATCATCACCATCATCATCATTGTCAGCCACCAGGAGTTGTATAAATCCTCAGACAGGAGGTACCAGAGGCTGGGATGTGGCTGTGAGGAACGCTGCTGCAGGCCAGGGCTTCTCCCAGAGCTCTGGAGGCGCTGAAGCTTTTCCACTCACCCTGGAGAGGTCACTCACTGTCCCCATGGCTCTGAGGTGTGCCAGGGATACCTCACCACACCCCACTTCCCACCCAAGCCAGAGTCCCACTCTTGTGCCCCCACCTGGGACTGTATCCTAAACTTCAAAGCTTCCCCGTCACCCCGAGAAAACAGCTGGCTTTGCTGCCTAGTCACCCACTTCACGTAGGAGGAAACAGGCTCAGCCTGAGTGTAAATCGATCGCCATCTCCTAGAGCTTTCTCTGTGTGGGAGGGGGCAGGAGAGGAAACATAGCCTTGCCCACATGACTCATTCAATCCCCAGCAGCCTCCCCAGAAAAAGTGCTATTATTGTGGCAGCAGAACCTCTAGCCTATTGAGATTCAGGGAATTAACCTAGGTCACACAGCTAGAGATGGCAGAGCCAGGATTCAGATTCTCATCTACCTAATGTGGGGATCTAGACAACACTGTCAGCAAGTAACACCCACTCTGTTCTGGGCCCTTCTGTGTGCCTGGCAGTGGGGTAACACCTCACACAGTATTTATTTCTCACAATGATGCCATGAGGAAGGTAATTCACTATGTACTTTAAAAAAAACTAATCCAACCCTGATGAGTATGGTTTTCCAACATATTAAAGGTTCCAAGGCTTGCTTGGCCAGATTTGGCCGATGTGACAGAAAGGACAGACTAAGAGGAGGCTAGGGAGCCTGATGGCTTTTATGCACCTGTGGCCCGAACAGAGGTAGCTCTGAATGAAACCGAAACTACAAAAGTTCATCACCATCACAATCCCATCACATTTCTGTGGGCTGAATTTCTGGTTGGTTATCTTTCCCAGCTGACTTCAAGCAGCCCCTAAGCAGAAACCGGGTTTGTTTTGTTTATTCCCACTGTCTGTCAGACATCTAGTTCATAATCCGCATAGCTGAGAATTCACGTGCTGAATGCCTGGTTCCTCATTTCACAGACAAGAAACTGAAGCCTGTCAACCACTTGGAAATGGCATAGATGGAGCATTCAACCACGGTTGTTTCTTCTTCTTTCTTCTGAAGGAGGGTCTCACATTGCAGCCCAGAATGGCTTCAACTTGCGATCCTCCGACCTCAGCTTTCCGAGTGCTGCAACTTGGAAGCTAAGGCCCTCATCTCTTTTCACCAAAATCACAGCTTCCAGCGGTCAAAGTCCCCCAGATCAGAACGGACAGAAAGTGCGCACCCAGACTGTGCAGTAGGACGGTTCCCAGGTCTATGCATTCGCCCCAGTCCGGGGCGCAGAGGCGCACAGAGCGGCAGGAGATTCTGCGGGTCCCCCAGCACCCCGCGCCCCTCCTCGCCTTCTCCATTTCCTAGTCACATTCGCGGAAGTAAACAAGCGAATCTACACGATCGTGCCTACCCACAGTCTCAAAACAAGGCACTAGGAACCTTAAACCCACCTGAGACTTTGCCCTGCAGGGCGACCTCTCCGAGCCGCCACTGGTGCGCATGCGTCCCCCTTGTCCCGGTCTGTGCGCAGGCGTGAGTGCGAGGCGGGAGAACTTCAGCGTGTCGGCGAGCGTCAGTGTACGGGGAGGGTGGAGGGTGGGGAGGGAGACTGGGGTAGTAGGAAGTGCAGGGACTTGAGAATCTGTGTGAAGGTGACACACAGCGTGGTCGAGGGGAGTGTGCGTGTCCGCACTGTGTGTGTGGAGTGCGTGGGGACAGACGCGCTTTACGCTGCGCGAGTGTGGACACAGGGGTGCAAGGCAGGCACAGTGAGCCGGAGAGGAGGGATGTGTGCGTGCGCGCTAAGCATGGGCATGCCTCGGAGGCTGGCAACTTTGGCATCTAAAGGGAGCGCCCTCCAGGCAGACCCGGACACACCACATGAAAGGGGATTCGATACTACCGCCTTAGGGTCACCTCTCTCAAAGCCCCTGGTAGATCGTCTTTCCATTCATTTACGTGACGAGCTTTGACGGTGTACCAACAGAGAGATACCAGACTCTGCGTTAGGCTCTGGGGAAACCAGTCTTAAATAGCTTAGGTCTCAGGCATCATCTGCTTCCACTGATCTTTTGTGTTTCCGGTTTTCTGTGTGACTGCTTTGCAAGATGTCAGTGATAAGCACGAATGTTGGCCTCCGCCTGTCCGCAAAGGTGCATGAGGTAGCTTATGTGCAGAACAAGTCAGAGCAGGAACCGGAGACGCTACATAAAAGTTCTCCGTGATAGGGCCTTTTCAACACCCCCCCCCCCCAACGTTCCTCTGCTCCTACAACTCTATTGTCTTTCTTCCTCAGCTTCAGGCCTTGCCTCAGACATCACACTACGGGTGTATAGGTAGTCTTTTTTTATTCCTTAAGGCATTTATTGCTTTCTGCTCGCTACTCTGTAATGTGCTAAGTTGTTTTTTTATTGTGTGGATCTCCCTACTGGATGAGAATTCTGGAAGAGTGAGGGTCCACTAGGACCTCTGCAAACAGCCCTGCACAATGAGGGGGCACCCAGTGTTGGATGATAAATAGGAAAGAAAGGGAGTTCCCTAGGCACGACTCTTCCTTACCTCTGTACAGCACTTTGGAGTGTGCAAAGACTCTTGAAAAGGTTGTTATTAAATCTGCACTATTATATAAACTAGGTAGGGTTTCTTTCTCTTCCTTTCTGTCTTCCTTCCTTCCTTCCTTCCTTCCTTCCTTCCTTCCTTCCTTCCTTCCTTCCT